ACAAAAACCCGTGTTCAATTAATTTTTTCCAGAGGTCTCTAGTTGTATAAAAAACGAAGAAGCCAAAGTCATTGGCTCGAACGGCACTCACATTTGACTCGTTTTTTCTCGCGCGTTCCTTTTTGTACAAAACTGGATCAATTTCTGTTTTTCTGTATAATTCATTTTTGAACACTTCGACGTTGGCGAAAGACAAGGGAGAGTCGAATCGGTATATCTTTATTCCAATAAGCTCTTTGACCTGAAACGAATGGTGAGCGATATAATGTTTTCTTCTGCATTAGCGTATACCTTGCAGCTGGTCTGAGTACAGCGGTACAACTCAGAGGAAGGAACATTCCCCAAACACACGGCGTGTGGCCTAAAATACATAGCCAGATCAAACCGGAAACTCTATAAAATTTCATCCTTACCATTGTGCCCTAAAAACTATCGTCATTACAGCAAAACAGATGCTAGCTGCTAAGCCATAGGTCAGGTCCAGTACGACGACAGACGTAAAGCTGAAAATCCATATGTACTGAAATATTTGCTATGAGCATAAGCTGTCAAGACGGTTAGTCTTACGAAGTCAATTTTGGACTTTTTCCATAACAGAGGTAGCTCTCTGAACTGAAGAAACATTCCACGCAATGCGACTATGATAATCGCCGCGAAGACACACTAAAATCACCAGCTGTATTTCTTAATAAAAGAAGATGATGAAGAGAAGGAGAAGAAAATAGAAGGAGAAGGAATTGGAGATGATAGTGTAGTTTTTGATAGGTTCTGAAAGCGTGTTCATCATTTAAAATGCGGATCGGACATCACATCAAACAACAGTGTCAAATTCGATTTTATACGCATTGGTACCCTCCGAATATAATTACCGATAACGCATCCTACAGTCGTTGCTAACCCAGGAGACCGTAGTTGTATAAAAGTTCAAGCACAAGGGCAGATATGAAAACCATATATCATATATCTAACAGAACATTTTCTTACTTGCGGTAGGTACTTAAACAACGCCGAAAGCGAAAGCAGAACCACCAATATGATTAAGGCAGATATTATGCTGACAATCTATAACAAACAGCTAGCCAGCTGATAGGTGCAGATATATACAGAGTCAGATGGTACTTGAATAACTCACCTGAGTTCTTCCACCCTGCTGATCCTGGACCAGGCTACGGCTTAGGGAGGCACTGCTACAGTGGCAGGCGAAGAAAGAAGACAGTATGTGCACGAGCCCCATCGCAAACCACTCCTATGATGGTCAAGTGCATCTACAAGGAAATTAGCAAATGGCAAGTCACCTGGTTCGGGCTGATACGGTAACCATGCTTTTCGGCGAACAGCTTGGCCATGGATACGGCAATCGCATAGGTCACGATGCTTATCGATATGGCGTCCGATATGAGATCAAAAAACAGGCTCCACTTCGGTAATACTGGAGCTATCAAGCTGAAACACGACAATACGCATGGTCTATTTTTTTAAACCGTGGAATACCCTTCAGGAATGTATCCAACGATGGCCACTCGATAATTCTTCTTCATGTCAAGTATGTAAGACATGGCTGTGAAAATGATAATCTATAATTTTTTATCAGAGTTTCATAAGAAAAGTAAGCTGAGGTTATCCAGTTGACATGACATTTTGCCAGCTATTAAACGGACTTCCGGACAACGCTACCTTTGCGAGATTACTAGTATAAGCTCTTGCGCGTTTGCATTTTTGCTATGCATGTTTTCCGGTCTGTATAATTTCGTGAATATTAGTCAGATAGTGCTTTCCCAGATGTCTTGCAAACAGATTCTACCTCTATCATTTACTAAACCAAACATTCATTAATGAGGAGATAAAAATACGTGACTCACGTTACTCGTTTGGCATTAAAGCACAAAGCCA